TTTGAATGACACGTACGATTGAGATTCTAATTTTTTATTATCACCCATAGGGGTTGGATTGTTAACGATTATCTAATCTCATCTTAGATTATATACGAGGCAAACACACACTGCAATATTACCCCCCAACAGTCTCTAGTTTGTCCAGTCCTAAGACTGTAGTTTCAATGAAACCTAGTCAATTTTAGTACCCGCTTTTGTTCGTTGTTTGATTAAAGAAACAAAAGCCTTAGAAAATACAACTAATGGATTCGTAAATAGACATGATATTTTCATTTATGTTTTTAGTTATATTGCTCTGTGGGGAGTACTCACTTTCTGTTTATTTATTTTTCATGTTTTTTGTGGTGAGTCACCACCTTATTTTTACTTTGACTTTCTTCCTCTCACTTTGTACTTCTAGAGACTTAGATTTATGTCACATTTTCTTGTATTTTTTTCATTTTAGTAATATATACAGGTAGGGGTACTTTCAAACCCCCCACCACACTGGGTGGCTTAACCAAAAAAAAAATAGATTTGAAAGTGTGGTAAATTTAATTAAAATAATTGATTTATATCAATGTAGTATTAACTTAAAAAAATTGAAAGTGTTTTTACCTATTTAAAAGGTTACCGATTCCTTCATTTGACAAGACAAAACGTGCAAAAAAGAAGAATCAATAGCTACAAGTGCTTAGGCAACTCTTCTCTTCCACGGCTCTAAGTGATTTCAGCAAGGTACTAAAATATTTTATTTTAGTACCGTCGTGCTGTCCAAAGATTTGAGTCCTTATACTTTCCTGCCATACACATGAATGACATAAAGTGCATGCCAAGTGCAGTTAACATTAACCAAAATAATTGATTTATATCGATATATTATTTATTTGGAAAAACTAGGATTGTTTTTACCTAATTAAGAGATGATTGGTTCCCTCATTTTCATAAGACAAATAGTAAAAAAAAGAAGAATCAATGGTCACAAGCATAGTTTTAAAACCCGGACTAGACTTCAACCTGGTGAAGGGACTGGGTCAATGGGTCATTAGTTCAACCGTTGGGTCACTGGTCGAACCGGTAATATAATAAAAATTAAAAAATAATTATAAATAATAATAAATATGATAAAAAATCACAATAATTATAAAAATAACATTAAACATATAAAGTTAAGTAGATAAAAATCATCAAATATATATCCAATTTCAAAGTATTCAATTGTCAAGAAATTAATCAATATTCTCCTACAGTGATCTGTCCACCTATCGGTCATGATAGTACAACTAGTCCCTTTCCATCTAGTTGGAAAACTATGAACAAAATTTTTCACTTCTTCAACATTCTTGTTCACAAATAATCTCGCAAGTCATGAAGGTTAGGGCCTTTATAACCACTACCAAAACTAGTAATTGCATCTAACATAGGTTGATAATATATGGAATTTATAGCATTAAAGGGAATGCAAGTATCCATTATCCATTTGGAAACCGCAAGATCACACCTTTCTTTTGTCTACTTACTTTGCAAAACACTTTTGATAGTAGGCTGAGAATAAGGGGTAGTCCTTGGTACAAAGTAAAAGCCAATTGTTTTACCTTTTCTTCCTACGTTCTTGGTATGTATTGATTTACCATGACCCCCACCAATGGAAATACCTTTTACTTTATAAAAGAATGGAATTTCTTGAACATCATCATTTTCTTGCATGTATTTCTACTCTTGATAATTTCGAAACTCTGGTCCATATAAATTCATTTCATCATAATGTTGTTGTGTTTTTCTTTTCTTAGTCACAGTACTTTTCAGAAGCGATCTCATCTCATAACTAACATTGGGTGGGTATCTACTACATTGTTATACTTCTCCTTTAATCTCTGTCAAATATTGCTTGAATCTATTGATACCATCTCCTTTAATTACCTTGTGACAATACATACAATTCCAAAGCTAGGAGGGTAATTGGATAAATTCAGTGCCATCAAGTTTTTTTTTCTTTCTTTTTTTTAATAGCAGGCAGTCTTATTCAGACCCGTTCACTTGTATTTCGATTAATTTTCTCTTTAATTTAATTAAGAAATAGATCATTTATATCAGAATTAGGGAATTAGATTTATAGCTCGTTTCTATTTTTGTTTGACTACCCATGAGATTAATTTAGGGACATAATATTTAGACAAACGAAATAGTTAAATTATTGTAAATTGGATCAAAGGATCAGTGCCAGTTGAGGTAATAATGGTTGGGTTGAAAATGGAAGCCTCAAACAAAAAGCAAGAGCTGGAAACAAAGAGAAGCCCTTATGCTTTCCAGTCATCCACGTGAAAAACATAAAGTGCACGCTGAGCGTAATAACTTTAATTAAAATATTTGATTTATATCGATGTATTATTTACTTTAGAAAAACAAGCTTATAAACTATAAGAAATGAGAGTGATATTTTAGAAACCATAAAGGAGGTCTTTGTAATTAAGCCATTTTTTTAAGAGATGTCAATAAAATTTACTCAAATTTATATTACCACCCACAAAAATTATAAAATTTAGAGGTATGGTTCCCATTTTTTTTTTTTTTTTTTTTTTTTTTCATAATAACGTATATCACTTGATCCAATAGCTACAGCTGATTTGTGCAAATTTTGATGCACAAAGAATTACCCTTTCTTAAAATAAGTTTGACAAAAGATGCTGAGGGTCAGTGTTTTATTGGATGTACACCTCATGTGGTGGTGATCATGTAGTGTGTATTACTATCTAAATATTTCTCAGAAACAAGAATTTAAAAAATCGAGAAATTAAGATTAAACACAAATAACACAATTAATGAGTACTGTAAATAAAAAATAGATATTTAATATATTTTTTTAATTTTTTAAATGATATTATATGAGTTATTGTAGAATTAAATCATTTTTTATTGATATAAATATTGTCACAAATATGACACATACAAAAAATTACCCCACATGAAAGCCACACAACACGATTCAGACTCCTACTTGTACATGTATAAGGAGATGCATCCCATGTAGAATCAACAACACTACTCTCCAACTCTACAGCCCTAAATCGTAGGTGTCAATCGTGTTGTGTCATATTATTTTTGTGTCGTGTCATTTTTCGTCGTATTATTTTTATGTTGGGTCACTTTCAGTACGTGTGTCAATATTCGTGTCAATAAAAGATTATTTAATTCCACAACAACTCATATAATATTATTTAAAAAATTATTATTATTTTTGCAATACTTGTTAAATAATTATTTTTATCTAAAGTACCCGTTAATCATGTTATTCGTGTTAAACTTTAATTTAAATCATTTATTACTCATGTCAACAAATTATGTTATTTTTAATTTTTGTGTCAGGTGAGACTCGTATTAATGAATAAAATTGACACTCCTACTAAATCTTCTCCCAAAAAAAAACTCTATGAATACTTTGAAATTTTGAAAAAGTTTGATAGGTTGGTGGAAAAAATGCAAAAATGTTGGGAGCGGCTCGTCTGCGGTAAGGAAAAAACTACATGACATACGGTTAAGTAAAACGGCGGCGTTTCACTTGTTTTTGGAATATTTTTTTTTATTGGCCCTTACCAAAACGACGTCGTTTTGGCCCTTTAATTTCCATATCTGCAGTCTCCCTCTGTCCCCGACTTTCTATTTCTCTCGCCTTCTTCTTCCTCAAAGAATTGTCCAAGTTTGCTTGTGTCAATCAAATCCTCATCGTCAACATCATCTAACCCTCGTCTTCCAAATCCTAAAACCCCCAAATGATGTTGAAGTTCTTCGAAGCCTGATGGAGATTCAAATAAAAAATCAGAAAGTCCATGAAGCCATAAGCATTATTGAAAGGTTGATTGAACTTGAGCCCAGTGACATTGAATGGCCATTGTTGAGAGCCCACATGCATTGCTACGGTGGAGAGACTGAGTTGGCCGAAAGTAGGTTCAATGAAATAATGATAAAAACCTTTTTCGTGTCGAGGCTTATCACGGGTTGGTATTACCAGCTTCTTAGGAGGATTCAGACTAGTGAAATGAAGGAAATTGAGAAAAGGATTGAGGAGGGAATGAAGATGTGTAAGAAAGACAACAAAAAGGATGATTGGAAGGATTTTAAGCTTTTACTTGCGCAAATTCGGGTCATTGAAGGGGACTATAAGTATGCTTTGAGGATTTATCAAGAGCTTGCGCAGGAGGAGCCTAGGGATTTCCGACCGTATGTGTCAGGGGATAATATATACTTTGTTGAAGAAGAAAGATGAGGCTGAGAAGAATTTTGATTAGTATAGGAGGCTAGTTCCAAAGGGGCACCCCTATGCGCGGTATTTTGATGATAATATGATTGCAACGAAGCTTTTTGCTCAAAAGGTGGAAAATGAGGGGGCAAATTCAAAGAGCTGAGGAATTGGCGATTGGTTTAGGGCTGTTTGAGGTGTAGTGATGGTGGCTATTCACTTTTAGCAAGGTTCTTTTGTTAACCTGCATTATTTTTTTTTGTTTGTTATGTTTTAGATAACAGTTTGTTTTGAATTTGTGTTTAGAGAGGCAATATACAGTAGTTTTTAATGAGTTAATAATTAATGTTATTGTCTTGTGCTTCTCATTATATTGAGAATTAATCACTGCAATTGATATGAATGGATACTGGGTAGTGGGTACACTCTGCTTCTTGAGTGTCTTGTAGTTGAATTGCCTGCTGTATTTCTGTAAGGTTATGTATACAAAAACATCATTATGAATGGAGGATTATGGGTGAATGGCAACAAGAACTTCTGGTGATACATAACAGCAAACCAGCTTCTCAGAAGAAACTCAGTCTGCCATCACTATTCAAGCTTACCAGCAACTCTAGAAAACTTTTGAATGAATTAAAGGGCTGCTGTAATTTCTGAAGTTCCAAATTAACCATACATATCAAAATTCCAAAAAAAAATTTCAATGTTAATTACAATAATAATCAAACTCTGGAACTAAACAATAGCATTTTCTCACCTAGACAATACAAATTTCCTAAGGCAACTAATTTGGAAAATGGAATCCACACAAAAACCTGCCAAGCTCCTCATCATTCCTCACTCCAAGCTGAATGTGCCTTGGCACTATGCAATTCTTCTTGTTATCCTTGCTGCATTCCCAGCCAACTCCAATACCTGTATTCAATAATCACCATCATCAAATCACATGCAGCCAAACAATTTGTAACATGGATATATCATTAAAAGTTTAAAACCAAATGTTGGTAAACTGCCACAAGATATATGCCATCTGGGGGATGTAACGACATGGGTACCTCTGAAGAAAAATGACAAGTAAGTTTCAATGCATAGCAAAAACTATTTTCTGCTTGGAATAAAAGCAATACAAGGTGCACAACATTTTTGGGACTATTTATCCCCTAATGAAATACATGGAGTTCATATGACTAACCTTCTGAATATCCAAGACACACACACACACTGTTGAAGAAAATGGTCAGATGAACTTGTTCATTGATTCAATAAACAGACTTGTCAAGAAATTAGATTATGCATGATCAGTACCAAATTGCCATTAATTAGCTCCATCTCATTAAGTTGGTATGGAGATCAAATATGTTGTTTTACTCATTTGCATTCATGAGAAAGTGGAGATTGAGAGAACCATCCAAACAATCAGATATGCGTTTGCATCCAAGGGGCCTCACGTATAAAGTTATTTTCTTAATTTTAACTTCCTATGTATCTGCCTTGTGCTGCAAATAGGGGATATCATAAAGTTAAACAGCTAACTCGAAAATCCTTTCTAAGATTTTATAACAATGTAGTTGCTTTGATTGGTTGAATTCACAAGGTTCAGTGGTGCTTAGTGGTAAATTCCTTTTTTTCTGGCATTTTCTCAAACAGGTGGAGGGTGGGGAGGTGTGTGTGAGAGATTTGCTTGAAGGAGAAAGAGGGAGCCAATTTCAACATCAAAATTTGAATTTCAACATCAAATTTCAACGCCAACAAAAGGTTCTATCCAAAAAAAAAAAAAGAAGACAGAGAGAACGAAGGAACAATTTGAATTTGATTTGACGCATCTAAATGGAAATTCTTAACACAGAGAGAACGAAGGAACATACGTTGCCTGTAGTCGGAGCTGCCTGAAGTCGGAGCTGCCTGAGGTCGTTGGAGTTGCCTGAAGTTGCCCAGATTTGCTGCACCACGCAAGGATTTGCTGTTGAAGTCTAACGAAGAAGAAGGCATTTCAGACCTGGTAAGGGGAAATAAAAAAAAAAAAAAGCAAAAAGAACAGTGAAACGGTGCCGTTTTAATAAACCGCATGACATAAGGGGTAACTCCCCAACCGCAGAGGAGTCGGACCCAAAAATGTTAGGTGCATTACACTTGAGTATTGGTTCTCTCTTGTTTTCCTGTCTTGCAGATGGGTCCTCACTCTTCAGTACATCACATGGTTCTTTCTACTCGGCCTAGACTACAGTACATCCCACAAGCTTTTTCGTACGGTACCAAAAAGCTGTTGGCTGCAAAAATTTGAGTTTTTGTTGTAAAAAGATGCAGAAAAGGCCATGTATAAAGCAAAAGTAGGGTAACTGAATTGACCTATTACTCACTTACATTGTATAACAATGATGGATAAAAGATGTACTACAGCAATGACAGAATTACAAAGATAATGATATAGTTACAATAATACTTCCAGGATTTACAACAATAACAGGTACAATAACAAACATCATAGTATTCTTACAAAATCATTGCAAGTTTAACGATATTACTAGGTGTAAGTACAAAAGTAATGGTATAATTATAACAAGAGTGAGAAATTTTGAAAATTAGTGGAAACAACTACAAAGAGAATGGGGTATTTACTATATCAGTAAGAAATGTACAATAGTAGTGGAGTTAATTACAAAAGTAAAGGTATATTTAATTATTTTCTATTTATATTACTTATTAATCATGTTATTCGTGTCAAATTTTAATCTGAACTATTTATTACTCGTGTCAACTAATAATGTTATTTTCGATTTTTGTGCCAGGTCAGATTTGTATTAATGAATAAAATTAACACCCCTACTAAATCTTCTCCCAAAAAAAAAAAAACTCTATGAACACTTTGAAATTTTGAAAAAGTTTGATAGGTAGGTGGAAAAAATGGAAAGAAGTTAGGTGCATTACACTTTAGTATTGGTTGTCTCTTGTTTTCCTGTCTTGCAGATGGGTCCTCACTCCTCAGTGCTTCATGGTCCCTTTTGGACTAAACTACAGTACATTCCACAAGCTTTTCGGTACGTTACAAAAAAGTTGTTGGCTGCAAAAAATTGAGTTTTTGTTGCCTAAGGGTGCAAAAAAAAAAAAAAACCATGTGTAAAGCAAAAGAAGGGCAATCGAATTGACCTATTACTCACTTACATTATACAACAATGATAGATGGAAGATGTACTACAACAATGAGAGAATTACAAAGATAATGGTATAGTTACAATATTACTTATAGGATTTACAACAATAATGGTGTTCTTACAAAATCATTGCAAGGTTAACGATATTATTGGGTACAAGAACAAAAGTAATGGTATAATTACAACAAGAGTGAAAAATTTTGAATATTAGTGGAAACAACTATAAAGATGATGATGCCTAAAGTAAAATCCCAAGTTTTAGCTCAGGAGTTCAGCTCAAACCGGGAGGTCAGTCATACTAACTGAGGTCAGAAGGCAAAGGGTTGAATGTCATTTGAGGCAAGGCAACGATTGGATGACCACGAGAGGTTTCTGAAGCGTTAGAAAGCTATAATCAAGACACCTAATCTCAATCAACCAAGATCTTCTCCTAGAAATAAGGAGAACCCCACGAAATAAGGGCAAGAATCTCGGTCAAGATCCCACTAAATAGGGAACATCCCTATAAATATTATGTAACACCCCGAAAGAAGGGCGGAGGACCCGAGAGACAAAAACTAGCAATTGTACTCTAGTATACATCATTATCGAAAGGCAAGGAGCAAGAGTCTCCATTAAAGAGTGGATTAGCCGAGTTCCCGAGCTGGTGAACCATTATACTTCTTCTGTGTTAATCCTCCCAGTCCCTAGAAAAGCATTTCAATCATTATCACACCACCATCACTACAAAGCATAATAGCGATTTATTACTCATAGAATTCGGTTTACACCATCAGTTTGACGCCGTTTGTGGGAATGACTGTTCTTGTTGCAAATAAAGTTGATTTTCCAGTGGTTGATGGTATCATCCACTTAAAAAAGTGACTGGAATCATCTGGACATTTGCAATATAGTTTTCCAGGATTTTTTTCAGATTCTGAAACTTTGATAATCCCTCTTTTGCTACAAATGGGGCAATACATATTGCGATATCTTAAATCTTCATTGCTTGTTGCCGTGCTTGAAGATGTCATTCTTGAATCAGGTAGAATTGCTTGAACAAGCTACCAGGTAATGGATGAAAGCTGTTGGACATACACAGAATATTGCAAATCAATTACGATATTTCACCAAATACAACAGCAAATCAACTTCTGGCATTTTGATGTTTGGAGCATCAAGTATATAATGCAGAAAATCTGATGCAAAGACTGCAGAAAATCTGATGCAAAGACTATAGAAAATCTGTTGCAAAGAATGCAGAAAATCTGTTGCAAAGAGTGCAGAAAATTTGTTGCAAAGAGTGCAGAAAATCTGATGCAAATAGTGCAGAAATTAATTCAAAGAGTGCAGAAAATCTGTTGCAAAGAGTGCAGAAAATATGTTGCAAAGAGTAAAGAATTTCTGTTGCAAATAGTGCAGAAAATCTGATGCAAATAGTGCAGAAATTAATTCAAAGAGTGCAGAAAATCTGATGCAAACAGTGCAGAAAATCTGATGCAGTGTTCCATACCTGATGGGGTGCTGGTATTTTATGAAATGTGAACTTTTACTTGGCTGCTGTTAGTAGCAGTTGAGTTATAAGGTAAAAAATGCAGATGAGTTTATTTTGCAGCTGGAGGATACAAGTCAAAATTAGGCATAAGAGAAAAACTAGGAAAACAATGTCCACATAATTGCTGCCATTAAAAACATCACCAAAATAAGGTGATTGAGCCTTGTTCAAGTATTTTCACTAATGCTTGTTCAAGTATTTTCGCTAATGCTTGTTCAAGCATTTTCACTAAACATAATAAAGGGCATACAACCAAATTCACAAAGTTGATTGGATTATATTTGTTCTCCAAACTCCAAAGAACTTGAGACAAGCCCATTCCATTTCACATACCACCTCAAGTAATTTTAAAAATTCTAAACATAAAAGATGTATAGTTTGAATCCTATATATAAAATCTGAAGCATATAAAATTTGCCTATAGAGAAATTCCAATTCATAAAGTTTTCACGGAATGGGTAACACTTACTAGAAGTAGTAAATTTTGAAAGCAAGACAGTATAAAATTCTAGTACTTCTGTCTAACAAACCATGTCTAGATATCAAAGACACATTTCCTGCAAAATATGACATACTCATTAGACATACAGCAGCAAAATATTCATTATTTGAAATTGAAGCAAAAATCGAAGACAAATTTTGATTCACAGCAGAACAAGAAAGAGAGTTCAATCCACATCTCTATTTGAAATTGAAGCCAAATTTCAATGTACCAAATCTGAGAGTTCAGCCCATTCAATAGGACAAAAATCTGAAAGAGAGTTTAGCCAAATTTCAATTAAAAAAATCTGACAGTTCAGTCTACAAAAATTTGAAAGAGAGTTCTTTCTGGCATTTTCTCAAACAGGTGGAGAGTGGGAAGGAAGAGTCTACGACTTGTGTCGTCATTTTCATCAGGAACAGAAATATAAAAGGAATAGACAGAAATGCATGTAAGAATGCTAGAATTGGATTACAGAGATCTAAAGAATTGGATTACAGAGATTTAAGGGAAAAGGGAAGTAGTTGATCCTATAGATTCTGGAAAAACCACAATGTAGATAATCAATGAAGTTACTATAGAGAGACCTGGAAGCTCCCTGGACGAGACTGTGGATTGGAGGAGGGGGGATGTGATCTTCTCAGTGCATTGACGGGTTTCNTTTACTTGGCTGCTGTTAGTAGCAGTTGAGTTATAAGGTAAAAAATGCAGATGAGTTTATTTTGCAGCTGGAGGATACAAGTCAAAATTAGGCATAAGAGAAAAACTAGGAAAACAATGTCCACATAATTGCTGCCATTAAAAACATCACCAAAATAAGGTGATTGAGCCTTGTTCAAGTATTTTCACTAATACTTGTTCTNGGACAGAAAGTATGCGTAGGAAGGGATCTGAAGGTGATTTATTGGACAAAAAACGATGTCGTTTTTGGTGAGGAAGAATAAAAAAAAATACAAAAAATACCTAAAACGCCACCGTTCAATTTAACCGCATATCATGCGGTAAATGGGTTACTGCAGAGGAGCCGCTCCCCTTAGCCTCCTCATACTCGAAAAGAAAGTGTAAAACTAACTAATTCCGTCTAGTTCGCCTGAACGTGAAGCACACAGACGATAGAAGGCATGTGAACAGTTATCTCCTAAAAATAAAAAGTGAATGGACAATTATATGCTCGATTAGAATTATACAAAATAACCCATAACAGAAAACTCTTCCTCATCTTGCTTGAGCCTTCTCCGACACAATCAATGGAGTTGTGCTTCAATTGTATAGAATTTCACTCTTTAACCCAAGTGGAACCCATCTCTCTCTCTCTCTCTCTCTCTCTCTCTCTCACAGTGCATTTGCAGACGTAAATCGTTGAAGTGCCAAACCTTTATCGTTGAAGTGCCAAACCTTTGTTGACTCATTGTTACCTCCTCTTCCTCAAACTCTACTGTCGCGCCATCCTCCTCCACCCCTCTTCCATTTTCTCAGCATCATCAACATCTGAAAACTCATCCAAATCTGGTCACACTAGGGCTCAATTTCAGAATCTCCCATATAATCATCGATGACGATAACCCAAATTTCACCGTCTTTGCCACTATCAAATTTGCAAAAAACTTAATTTCAATTTTTGATTCATTTGAATTTAGGGGCTTGAAATATAAGATTTGTATGGGTTTGATTGTCTTTTTTTGATTTTTGTAGTAGTGTTTTTTGGATTTTAGTAGCGGGTGAATGTTGAATTTGCTAGACTGGATGGCTAGGTTTTTCTGGTGAATGAGTTCCTTGGATATTGGGAAAAACAAAGCCTTATAGTATCATGACGATTTCCCATTGT